ACGCCATGTACGTACACACTCACAGGCACACAGCGCTTTGTTGTGCCAACATACCTAATTAGTGTCAACTATTAACATAAAGAGTGCACTTCACATAAGAACTCGAGACGACAACAGCAGCAACAACAGCAACAGCAAGTTGCTGTGCTAGCCACGACTAACACTCGACTCGGAGTTTGACTAAGCCTCAACAATGGCAACGAGTCAGAGATGTGAGTTGTGTGCCAGAATTGCTGTACACACACTCAGAAAAAAGATGGCGCCGTTTATTTTCTGAACATTTTTTGGGATTTTTTTTTTGTTAAGGGTCACGGCTAGAACATCTTCGAAATCTTTCAGCTCGTCTGATTATAAATTCTTTCAGCAGGAAAGGCCTCAAAATCCCTTCCATTATTGAGGTCATTCAGCGAAACTTCTTAGTCTTGATAATTTGCCAGTTTGTTCGTTAATAAATCTTAAAAAATATAAATCTGATACCTCCCGGTAGTCGGTTTCTTGCATATCAAGTAGAATGGTTCTTGGAAATTTCTTGAGCATCATATTCTGTTCTTATGGATTCTTCAAATTAAGAATGTATTCACCGGGCATATATCGCTGCACACAAAACAAATAAGAATGATCTAGTCGAGTGTGCTCGATGAGTATGGATATTCACCAGATGGGGGCAGCTATCGATCAAATTGAATGGGATTAATATGCATATGGTATACGGGAACTTATATTCCAATATTTGTCTATAGCTTTAATGGTATGTGAGATCCATTTGTTCATACAGACGGACATGGGTTTATCGAGCTGTTCAAGAATTTATATACTTTATGGGATTGGAAGTGCTTCCTGCTGCCTGTTAAATACTTTTGCACACAATAATTATACACTTTTATAGCATAATAGCAATTTTCTGGACTTCAATGTGATTTTTTTTAGTTTTAAGCTATGTATTTTTCTGAGTGTAGAGTATAAATACAGACGTGCAACTAAAGCTGTTGCCCTGGCGATTGTAAATAGTGAATGGCAACATAAAGCGCGTGCATTATCAGCGCTCGTGAGGAAGCAAATGAAGTGCGAGTGGCAACTGCCTCAAGTATCATTCCGGCACTCATGCGTTGTTGTTGGTGTTGTTATTTTTGTCACAACACAGTGTTTAACAACGCCTGAACACACATACGCATACGCAGTTGCAACACGTTGTGCGAGACAGAGCATCGTGCCACAATGACCACATGCCGCAACACATCCTGCAACAGGAAGCGTACACACACACACTGGTCCTGTGCGGCTGACAAACAAAAACATTTCAAATAGTTGCACAACAATGTAATATTGAGTGTTGCTGCAACATGGCAACTGTGTGTGCCGCCTGGAAGTTGCAGGCTGGACAGCAGCTCAGCGATAAAGGTTGACAACGAATTTGAAGAGCCAACTTTGAGGTACGCTCTGGTAAGAAGCCGTGTTTAAAGTAGTGAGTCCTGCCACAGTCTGCTTACTTACCACCCTCGCCTCGCCTTGGTGGCACTCTGCGTATAATGTTTCAAATCACAAAACTTTCCCTGCGTTGGTGGCATGGTCTAAAATTCATTACCAACAGCTCAGGCGCCGAAAACTATGCAAAAATTATGTGCGGCAAAAAGTTGCCAAAACTCTTTAATACAGTCATAAATTTGGCGACTGCCAAGAACCTGTCAAAAGTGACCCCTGCCTCTAAAATGGTAAGGGGGTGACTGAGTGGATGGGTGTGGGGTGGCGCTGTTAGCTGGTGTCAGTTGAACAAAACTTGGTCGCTTGCAACTATTTAAAAGCTATAAAACCTGAAAGCTGTTACCCAACGGATATGCCAGCCGGATGCAGTTCATAGGCATGAGCTGTTGCACACACTCAGCATACACTCAGTCGCTTCGATTGTGTAAAGCAAGGATCACATGAGCTCAACACTTTCCGGCACATTTGGGTAACACAAAAGTAAACCACAAACAATGGACAAGACAAGGCAGTCTGGTAGGTGGAGTAGCAGTTTGGGGATGTCGGGTGTGGGGGTAGGGAAGTATTGCGAAAGCAACAAGAGCTTGCAGGCAGAGCACACTAATTGCAAGTCATGTAAATCGACAAGGACAACATCGCAAAAGGACACACACACACAAACATACACAGAGTTCGAGGACGAGCTGCAAAACGATGCCGACAAACTGCAAGTAAAAACATCTAAGAACTCTCCACTCTTGCGCGTATCCGAATACGATATACTCTATACAATTGACATAGGGGTGCTCTTGTAGAGGGCTGCGTGTTTTCATTCATATAAAATAAATTCATATAAATATATATATACATAAATGCCATTTCTGTCAGTCGGATCGGATTACTATGGCATATGGCTGCCATAGTTCACTGCACTATATGTATTATTGGCACATATTCGAAAAATAATATTTTATTACAGCTTCAGTCAGTTGATTTTTTAAATACTGTTGCCAAACTTTACGCTCATTAAGATGTACATTGTTCGATTAATAATGGAACGAAGAATGGACTGGAATGGAACCTAATTTTCTGCCAATTATTGAAAATTGCAGTCCAATGTGTGTTTTAAGTTGTGGTCATAAAAGTTTTGGCATTTTTTTTTTGCGACTTCTTTTCCTATCTCAAGCCTGAAACTACGTTTTTTTTTTAAATAATAAATAATTAAGATTTATATTTTCAGAGATAATTTGCATAGTAGACCCTTGTATAAATGGGCAAATCGAAATAGTGCACGTAACCAGAGATTTTGGCCCGGATAGTTTTGAGTTTTCGTTCAAATGTGAGTTTCATAATAGCCAGATACCCAGCCTTAGAATATGATCTACATGTTCAATACTAGAATTATCAATTTTAATCAAGGACATTTTATTATCTTTATTAATTTAATTTATTTTTGAGAATTGTTTTTCTCAAGCCAATTATAAGCATATAAATGTAAAACAAAACCGATGAGACCCGACAACTTAAGAGTATTGAACAAAGTCAACGCAAGGACAACGCAAGTGCAAATACCAGCATATATCCTGTGGAAAACTTGAAGTAATGCTTAATAGTTAGTTAAGTCGAGTTGAATGCGATATTTAACACTGGGAAAGAAAGAGATAGACGCACACAGTGAAAGAAAGAGCGAAGAGAGAAGTGCGGTGCATTTTGCCTGCTTTTGAATATTGACTGAAATATTGTTTGCTGGCTGTTTCAGGGGCAGCAGGTGGAGTCTTTGGCTGTTGCTGCTGATGTCGCCTGTAATTTATTTACATTGCAATTAGTTCTCAGCTCCGTTAAGGATTATAAACTTTCGCAGCACACACACACATAGATGTATCAGAAGAGCTCATAGAGAAACTGAAACTTGGGTGCTCAAATTGACATTAAGTCCTGAGTTGAAGTTTTTGCCTAGTCTAGCAAAACTTCTTTGGCGGTGTGTGTGTTTGTGTGTTTGTGATAAATTCAGGTAAGAACTCATCTCTTTCGACCGATGATATAGATAGTGCCTAGCTCGATCACCAGACTTCAATTCTGTAGAGGATATGAGAGGATAATTTTCTCAGCAACAATTTATAATGTTATTACTTGACAGTTCTCGTCAACCGTTCAAACGTATACGCTGCCACCTTTGGTATTCGGGTACGCCCGATTGGCAAACGTTTTTGGTGGGTTTTTTTTTTCTTGTCGGGAGAACGTTTATTGCTACTGAGGGACAAAGCGGGCGGAATCCTCTGGACCGTAGCTCTTTCGGGATGGGGTGGGTTGTTGCTGAGCCTCAGTAGGGACAACATAGTTTTAATTTTTTTAGGATTCCATTTACATCGAAATTACATGGGGAGACGATACCCCTCGAAGAGTTCGTTTGGGTTTACAAATCTCACAAACGAATAAGGGACTAGACCAATTCCCGTTATAGTGGGCTGTCATCGGTTCAGGTTGCCCTGAAAGGGGCGAGGTCTGAGGTGGTAGTCGACTCTCGCGTTCTATACCCTAACCCAACCATGATCATCGAAGCGCAGTTAGTCGATGATCCTCTAAAAAAAACTTATCCTAACTCATTATACTACCATGCCTCCCAGGAACGTTACGACTTTAGCACTTCATGATTATTTCTTTTCGGGTTTATTCATTTTCATCCCTCATCATTCCGGGCTCCTAGTGTTGGCCACAGAATGGGAGTTATTAATTTTATAAGATAGAAGTGACTTACAGATTAATTAACAATAAGAAGCATTTAATTAAGAAAAAAAATTTAATTCTAGAAATCCCTAATTTGGAATTTTACAAAAAAATAATAAAAAAATTGTAATTAATTAAAAATTTTATGAAATTTGTAAAAAAAATTAATTACCAAAAATTAATTAATTCAAACAAAAAAATTACAAGGTTAACAAAAATTTAATTGAAAATTAACCCCGATAACAATTTAATTTAAAAAACTTAATAATTAATTTAATTAATGGCAAAATCTGAGAAAAACCTGAATTTGAGAAATGAATACCAACTCCAAGGAAATCTATTCTTATTATTATTTTTTTTTTTTTTTTTTTTTTAGTTTAATTATTTAAAAAAAAAAATTTACGAGGCTAAAAATAAACTTTATATATGGCATTTCCAAGTCGTTTTCTTAGAGTGTGCCCCTTAGCTGGGTGCTCCGTTCATCAAAATCTTAATCACATTTTTGTAATAAAATTCACATATATTTGTGTTAAAAAAAATAATTTCAAACATATTGATTTGAATAAAATGATTGAGGAATTGAACACACGACACGGCATCATCAGAATGGATCCTTGATATCGGTCTGTCTGCTTCAAGCACTACTTTATGGACTGTATGATATTTAAATACATGAAATACATATAATCGATAATTTTGTACAGCAGTACCGAAAAGTTTTGAGTGTCAAAGTCACTTACACAATTGTGGATGACTTGTGTAAGGTGAAAAATAAAATTCATTTTTGGCATTAACCTGAATCTTTAAGTCAGTAAAATCCGAATTAAGAGAAAAACTGCTGGCATTGCAGTAATTTCGAATAGATCGAAAAAAGCGAAATAAAAAGCGAAAGTAAAATCAAATTAATAACTATGAATCCGATAAATAATAAACTTCCGCCAATTGGCTCGGAGCGAGCTGAACGTTTGACTGCCATGCAAGCTCCAAATCCAAACATGCCACTATTGGTAAGCCAGGTAATCTTAGCCAATATGCGGACACCCTAACCGCTACCCACTCCCCGTAGCAGCAGCAGCAGCGTCACGTGAATCACCTGAGTGACGAGGACAAAGCCTGGCTGCGCTCGAAGCGCGAGCTTCAATTTGAGTGGGAGCATCAGCAGCAGTTCGAAAAATACTGGAAGCTTAACAACCACGAGGGCAGGGAGGAGGAGACGGAGGAGACGCAACGTTTCGGTGGTAAGATACCAGAAGCAACACATATTAATCGAATGCCAAATCAGCAGCTGGAAATGGCACCACAAGCACCACAAGCACCACAAGCAGTACCATTTGGATTTTACATGGTTTCACCGCAAATATGGTTGCATCCTGGATACGGACACGCCTATAACTGGAACTTATGGCAACCGCCAAATTACAACCATTACACCAATTATGTTGCTTATGAGAATATCCATTTCCCTAACTTTTATGAAAATCAAGGCAATTTCGATAACCCTGGTGCATATTTCCCACATTTCCAATAATCATATATTACAAAAAGAAAAAAGAAAAGACAGAAACAGAAAAAGAAACAGAAACCCACAATTGATGGATGGAATCGAGGTTTTGAAATTACAACCTATAGCAAACTATATGTTTGAACACACATATATATATATATATATATATATATAGAAAACAGAAGACACATCGCAGACATAAGACTGTCGATTTTATGGCGACACTGCCAACATAAAAAACCACACTCCTTTGTAAGCGGATTGAATTCGTTATCAGAAACAAAACAACAATACAACAGCCTTAACATAATAAATAAAGCACTAAGAATGAATGGGAGAAACTTTCCAAAGTTTGCGAAACTGTGCAAAATGAACCCATACGCAAATCAAATTTATTACATTTTCATTTCAATATGTATGGGCCATAAACTAGACCATTTTCTTATTGGATGTACATATCGGCTGTGTGTTGGCATATGGAAAATTGAATCAAGATCCAATTAAAGATAATGCACGCACCGAGAACAGCACCGAGAACAACCTGATAATCCTCTTTTGCAACAACAATGAAAAACAAAAGCAAGAAAATTAATTATGCATTTATTAGAAATATTCAGTTCATTCCGTTAAAGTCCAGTCAGCCTGCGAGAGACAAATACCATGCGATCTATCTTCACCTGCTCGCAGCAGTTTTCATATAAATATATATTTGCTTATATAATGATGTACATAGGTATGATTGAGGCTGAACCCGCTTACTCGAATGGCAGCTAAACTATTGAGCCACTTTAGAGTACAACTCAGACTGCATATGGGGTAAAGAGTATATTTATTCATCTATAGATTGAAGATATCAATGCAAGTGTCAAGAATTGTTTAAAGTCATTGCTTAGATCCTTATGCTTTGTCTGCTGCCCTGTGCGTGCGGAAAACTAAAATTCTATTGGGATTGAACGGCTAATCCCTTTGGTAGTTGAAGGCTTAGCGCGCGCTTAGCTGCCAAATCGTTCACAACTAATGCCTCCACGCCGTTTGCCTGGCAACGGCCAATGGTGGCAAAACTATAAGCCGGCAACAGCTCTTAGTGCCGTATCCATCAGTAGCACCCCCTGGCGCTCAGTTCGGCAAATGCTGCAACTGCAACGTGCATCACAATGGGGATATAAATAAATAAATAGAAACCACTTTTTGCGCCCAGGCGGAAACAGCAACAAAAAAAAACACCAATTCGAAGCGGGGCAGATCGGAGACGGGGGCGACTAGGCGTGTCGTCTATTGTGCGGCTGCATACACAAAAGCCGAGAGCGAAATCAAAAGCACAAGAAACACTTTTAGTGAACAAAAAGAACAAAAGGGAACAAAAAAAAGTTGTCAGTTTGGTGCAATGCTCAATTTTCTTGTGCTTCTTTTTCTAATTCTTCGGCGTGAAGATTGGTGGGAGACGCACTTGAAGCAGAAACGGAAGTGCCACGTCTTGAGGCAGACATAGACGGACAGACAGGCAAACTAACTGATTGACTGCCAGGGCAGTAAGTAACTGGCAACTGGCAACTGCCAACTGGCAACTGGCAACTGGCAACTGGCAACTAGCAAATGGCAACTGGCAACTGGCAACATAAAAACTTGCAACTGCAACTGCTGGTAACTGGCTCAGTCAGCTGTGCCTTAAAGTTTAATTTAACCAACCACCCACAAACACCCTCGCCCCGCCAATGAAAACGTTAAGCGCTTTTAGTGTGCTGCGGAGGGGAGGAGGTTGGCGGCGAGAAGTGGGCGTTTGCCTTGGCTGTGGCAAGTTTACTTTTAATAGCTTTTCACTGAACTTTTCGCACGCGGTTTTCCCAACTCTCGAACTTCGACAGCTTCGGAGCTTGACTTCAGGCTTCAGACTTCGGACCTCGGATAGCGACCTGGATATGGCTGAAAGACTTATTACTTAATGACGCCTCATTTGATGATGCGGCCAAAAAATCAGTGCCGTTTGGACTCGATTGACGCATCATTAGACACGCATAAAAACAAAACTCCCAACTCGACTCGACTCTCCTCTCCTCTCCTCTCCTCTACTCTACTCTACTCTCCACTCCTCTAATCACCGCTCACTGCGCTTTCTTTGACTTTTCTTGGCTAAGGTGTCTGCTGCTGCTCCTGCTGAATGCTTCATGGGCCATTGCTTACAGACTTTTAATTGCACGACATGACAAAATAATTTGGCAAGCTTTTATTTATTTATTTTTTATTTTTTGCTTCATTTGAACTAAGCGCTTTAATCTTTATTTTGTTACAGCATTGGACAGTTACAGCATTGGACATCTGCTGATCCTCTCATTTGATTAACACAATGATTCATCATTTATTTTTTTAATAAGCAGTTTTCCGTAGTCAATACATTCATATTATAAAAAAATATACTTGATCTGAATCCGGTATTAAATTTATTTTACTTCCAAATTAAATTCGCTGGATTTAATAGTTTGTGCAATCAATGTTTATACAGAAGGACATGGCCAGATCGAGTTTCTTATTGCTTCTAATGAAGAATGTAGTATGTATTTACATACAATTCCTATGAGATTTGCCAGCTGTATTTTATCATTCGGAATTCGGCTGGTTGATGCTTCAGGTGAGCTCCAATTAATGCAGATTTCAAATTTCGTCATCTCTTTTACTCGGTGTCTGTACATATTATATATAATAAAATATGATATATATAATAAGATATGATAAATTTGATTTTGTGGCATTCTCTGCATAAGTGTAAAATGCAAGATACGCGTTCATTTTTAATTTATTATTATTATTTTTTAGACTCGTTGTGACACTCTCGAAATGCGCAATGCGCTTGCCTAAATATGAAATTATACAAAATGCTTCTAAGAGTTATCTTTCTCCCATTTTTGATTGTTGTGTGTTGAGAAAAGTGTGGAGTGAAAGAAAATGAATATGTTGCTGCTGTATCGATAGCACACAGAAGCAAATAAATAAAATCTTAAGAGAACAAAAGCTCCTGTTGCTTAAGTTCACTTTCCATTGGCTATTTTCTGCTGTGAAATAAAAAGTTTTGGGTGTACAGAGAAACAAAGTTGATAGATTCTTGATACTCCTCAATTAAGTCAGTACGTCTTTGCTGCAATTTAATACGCTTATTTTGGCAGTGTTCATTTTTCAACTAATGCAATTAGTCGAATTTAGCTCCGCTTGATGTAGTTTTCTAACTTTGAGCTGAGAAGTCACATTTATGACGCACATGCAGCAGAACGTGCTGCCAACGCAAACTTTAGCGCTGACTTTGACGTTGGCGTTGACGACGTATAATCTCGGTCAACGTCAATTACCCAAACCATTTGAAATATGAAGGCAACACGTCGAATTGGTATTTCAAAATTGGCGCTCACCGTCGATGGGCGGCGCTTTTGCCGTTATTTTGGTATGCTTGCTGTTGTGGCTAAGCGGATTAAATCAGTTTCGCACAAATTAAAAAGCCACAGAGCACACAAAAATGAAGATACAATTGTAAAAAAAAGGAACAGTATGCAGAGACGGGGAGAGTGTGGGAGAAAGCGACAGAGAAAGAGAGATAGAGAGAACCTATGTCGCTCTAACGAGCAACCGAGACTAGACATCTGCCAGCAGCACAATCACCGTCATCATCATCATAATCATCATCATAATAATAATCATCATCATCGTCATCATCTTCCTCTTCTTCATCTAGAGCATCATGATTATTTTGATTATCAACATCATTTGCAAGTCTCTGGGTGCTCTTTAAAATGTGAAACACGTCTAATCCTTTGAGAGCTGCCACAGAAAATGTGCTTGGAGCGCTGCCGCCGCCCAACGGTCAACGAACATTTATGAAATATGATTATAAATGCACAAAGCATGCACCGAAAGAGACAAACAGACAGACAGACAGAGTGAAACAGAGAGAGGGAGGCAAAGAGAGACACAATTTGAATGCCAGTCGCACAAAAGTATGCTATGAAATAAGAGGCCAAATAATTAAACATTTGAAGGGTTGACACAGCAAAATGAGCAAGAGGAGAAGCAGCGGCAAACGTTAGATGATGCACTGAGAGAGAGAGACAGAGAGGGATAGAGAATGCGGAGGGCGAGGGAGGCGGTCTAACAACAACATTGTCAGCATATTAGAGGCAGCGGCAGGAAGTTGGAAGTGATACGGAGGCGACAAAGCGTGCTCCAATTGCCAGTTACGTGGAGGGGCAGTGGATCGGGGTTGGTGGTAGGTGAAATGGGAAAATGGGAAAATGGCAAAATGGCAAAATAGCAATACGACAACTGGCCAACAAATACCGCAGACCGCAGCTGCAAGCGCTGCTAATGAGTGCCCCCTGGGGTGTGAGCTAGGAGATTTTAGGTAAATGCAGGCGCCGTCTGAACTCTAATTGAAACAGCAGCGCCAGGCAGCAAACGCAATGCTCGACACCTGAGCAGCAGAGCACTACACTCAGAGAAAAAATCGCGAACATTTCCTTCTCCTTCTGGCTGTTAGCATATTTCTTTCCTTTTCTGAATAGAAACCAGTTTATGTCATATAATTTATAACATTCTTTAATCAATTGTGTTTTATTTTATATTTCATTATTAACTTTTAATTGTTTTAAGTGTTTTAATTTGTAAGCTTAATGTAAATTTAAAATTTTAAATTATTATTAAATAAAAATAAAAAAAAAATTAAAAACTGTAAATTCTTTAATAGGAGAATATACAAGTAAATAAATAAAGAAGAAGAATGTTTTTTGTAATGGAAACTGTCATTGATTTATAAATATATTATTTCAAGTGAATTAATATGTCTGCAAAGTCGTCGAAAGAAAATCATTTTTATTGGAACTTATTATAAATAATGGAAATATGGAAATTATTTCCGAAAATCAAAAAACTGTTTTTTGAGTGTAAAAGGATAGTGTGTGTGCGTGTGTGTGCGTGTGTGTGTGTGTGGTGAAGTGAATACCATAGTCAGGACGCAACTCAGAGGGGCAGCAGCAAGCAACAAAGCTAACAAATGCTGCCAGCAAAGTGGCCGCCGTTTGATGAGCTCCAAATGAAAGGCAACAGGAGCAGCAGCTGGCGCCAAGTGTTTGCCAAAGCTGCAGCGCAGCAAAGTGGCCAACACAGACACAACCATGCACACACACACACACACACATATAAATACATACACACAACAGGCAGGCAGGCAAATGACTTTGAGTGCAACAGAAGCTGATTATGGCCAAGGACTTTGGTCAATAAGCTGGCGCAGCAAATGCATTTTGCATTTTGCATTTTCCATTTTGCAAGTCTCTGCGACTCGAAGCAGCAGGTG